AAACCAGCTAGGGCAAGCTCCAATTCTTTATCAGGACTTACAAGGCCTCTCACAGTGAAGCCCATGGAACATGCCCAGTTTACCCTTCTATCTCTACTGCCCCTGGTTCAGCCGCATCACACACTGTTCCTCATCTTTTATAAATCTCCAGGCTCAGACTTGTATTTCAAGAAATATGCACAAGGCCCTGGCCAGTATGGCTCAGTTGGTTGGGTGTCGTCCCATGCACTGAAGGGTCGCTGGTTGGATCCCTGGTAGGGGAACTGCAGGAGGCAGCCTACCAGTGTTTCACTCTCACATCAATATTTCTCTTTTTCTTCCTCTCTCTAAAAATCAATAAAAATATTTTTTTAAAGAAATACGCACAAGGCTAATATCAACAAGAGCAACATCTCCCATATATTGAACACTTTTTTGTTGTTGTTAATCCTCACCCGAGGATGTTTTCCCCCATTGTTTTGTTTACTTAATTAATTTATGTTTATATATTTTTATTGATCTCAGAGAAGGGAGAGGCATAGAGAGATAGAAACATCAATGATGAGAGAGAATCATTGATCAGCTGCCTCTTGCACGCCCCACACTGGGGCTCAAGCCTGAAACCCGGCATGTGCCCTAACTGGGAATCGAACTCTGACCTCCTGATTCATAGGCTGACACTCAACCACTGAGCCATGCTGGCTGGGCTCCATTGTTTGTTTGTTTAATATTTTTTTATTGATCTCAGAGAGGAAGGGAGAGGGAGAGAGATAGGAACTTCAGTGATGGGAGAGAATCATTGATTGGCTGCCGGCTGCATGATCGAGCCTGCAACCCAGGCATATGCCCTTGACTGGAATCAAACCCAGGACCCTTCAATCCACAGGTCGACACTCTATCCACTGAGCAAAACCAATTAGGGCTACATTTTTTTTTTTTTTTAGAGAGAGAGAGTAGAAAGGAGGGAGGGAGGGAGAAGCATTTACGTGAGAGAGACGCATCTATTGGTTGTCTCCCACAGATGCCCAGATGAGGGGGCCGGGGATTGAACCTGCAACCCAGGTACATGCCCTTGACCGGGAATCGAACCTGAGACCCTTCAGTGCTCAGGCCAACGCTCTAACCACTTAGAAACACAGGCCAGGGCTTGAGCACTTTATGCCAAGCACTGTGCTAGGCATTTGACCTACATGATGTCATCAAATCCTCACAGCAAGCCTATGAGTAGGATAACTTGCCTGTTTTGTAGATGGGGAAACGGGAATTTAAACAGATTTAATAATTTGTTCAAGTTTGCACCTCCCATAACTTACCTCTTTGATGATCTTTAATGGAACTTGCAAACAGGTTCCTTGGCACGTCATAGAGATCTCTACTATAGCATTTAACATGTCTATCTATCTCCCAAGGAGAACCAGGACCAAGTCTTATTCATTTTTATTTAGAGACCCTGTGGACTACCTAACACAGCACTTGGCATATTGTCAGTAGCCAATAAGTGTTTGTTGAAAGAAACAAAAAGAGAGGTAAGGAGAGAGGAATGAGGGACAGAGGGAGGGAGGGTCAGAGGGAGGGAGGGAAGGAGGAAGGGAGGGAGGGAAAAGAAGAGAGGCAGAAAGGAAGGTGGAGTGAGTGGGTAAACCAGGCCTGGAGACTGCAGGGTATGCTGCCAAAGTCCGGAAAAATTGTTAGGGGTGTGCAAGAGGCAGGGGACACTGGGCAGGCATTGTAGGTGCCCTTGGTGGGGGCCTGGCAGACTCTGTGTCACAGCAAAGTCAGTCTTAATGAAAGAGTGTAGACAGCTCTGAATGGTAATCAGGAATCTTGGAATCTAGGGCAGGCTGCAGAAAGAGGTTGGGGGCATGGTGTCCTGAACAGGTCGGGTGGAGGGACGAGAGAAAAGCCAGCCTCATGACACAAGGTCAGCAAGCTGCCACTCAGAACCACCCCCTTGACGGGGACTCAGGTGTGCCAGGCCCTTTACCCTCTCTATTAACTGGCTCACACTGGAGGCACCGGGGCCGGCTTCTTTTCATTATTCAGGTCTTTGCTCAAGTGACACTGGCTCAGAGAGGGCTTCCCTGACCACCCAGCTAATGCTGCCTCTCCCCTACCACCTATTCCATTATTTTATTTTATTCCTTTTATAGAGCTAACCACTATCTGAAATCATCTTATTTATTTCTCTTGTCTATGGGCTGTCTGGCCACCCCTGCCCTATTCTGTGAGCTTCATAAGAGCAGATTGTGTCTCTCCTTGTCATCAATACATCCTCAGTGTCTGCAGCTGCTCAATAAATATCAGTTTAATAGACATATTCGAGTGACCCAGGCTGACCCTGAACATTGCACAGGAACCAACCAGAGCTGAATCTGGATTCCCTGTCCGTGCTGAGGCCTCTCCTACAAAACAACACCGTGATGGGTGCCGGTAGCTTTAAGACCCTGCAAACTCGAGATTGGGAGGGTCCAAGGAGGGGCCTAGGATTTGTGTCTTCTACCCGACAGATGCTCCTGGAGCCTCCTGACCCTGGACTCACATAGATAGGTCTTAGCTGATCCCTGCAGAACGGGCCAGCAGGGCCAGCAAGTAACTCACCCTGTAGTCTGCATTACTGGGAGGAAAATCCTTATTAAGCAAGGAGGCTAGGACACTATGGGGTCTGGAAATGGGGAATGGGTTAACAATTCTTTTTTTTTTTAATGGGCACCAGGACCAATGATTACCAGCCGCCCAGCTCCCAAAAAATTATGCTTCCAAAATTTCTTGATGTCGATTCCACACATAAAGCAATCAAGCTGCCCTACGGGTGCCACTCATGACAGAAGCCCTTTTTTGGGTTAACAGTTCTTGAGAGGGAGGAGGACTGAGAGATTGGGACCCAGGGTTGCAGTCCCAGGGCTCCCTAGGGAGTTGGGAGATTTGGGCTAGGACACAAGGATTTCCAAGAGGGCTAAAGACTGGGAGATGGAGCTAGGTGCTGGGGGTGTGGGCATGAGGGTTTCCCAGGGAGCAGAGGCTTGAAGCAGGAGGGTGCACCTGGGAGGTGTTAAGGCACCAGGATTCTCCAAATATCTGTGGGCTGAGGGCTGAGTCACCATATTCTTTAACATCATGCCTTAGCAGCGGTTCTCAACCTGTGGGTCGAGACCCCTTTGGCGGTCGAACGACCCTTTTACAGGGGTCACCTAAGACCATCCTGCATATCAGATATTTACATTACGATTCATAACAGTAGCAACATTACAGCTATGAAGTAGCAACGAAAATAATTTTATGGTTGGGTCACAACATGAGGAACTGTATTTAAAGGGCCAGAAGGTTGAGAACCTCTGCAGGGCAGAGATGTTCCTGAATCTGTCCGTTTTTCCCAGCTATGACCAGCATAAGTCAGTTCTTGCTTAATAGAGTAGAATGCAAGTGACCAAGACTAGGAGAGATAGAGGCGGCCTTCTCCCTACTGCCTCCACCCCTTTTCCCCAAATCCCTGCCCCCATCTCTCTATGACCCTCTCATGCCCCCTGCTGCTCCTTCCTTGAACAGCAATGGCCAGTCTAAAGGACAACAGAATTCAATCTCTTCCCTTTCCTCCTGATGGACCAACCCCTTAGGACCATCCTTAGAGAGGGGCAGCTAAAGTCCCAAAGGGAAGGGAGTAGCCCTAGCCGGTTTGGCTCAGTGGATAGAGCGTCAGCTTGTCGACTGAAGGGTCCCGGGTTCGATGCGGTCAAGGGCACATGCCCAGGTTGCAGGCTTGATCCCCAGTGAGGGGCGTGCAGGAGGCAGCCGATCGATGATTCTCTCTCATCATTGATGTTTTTATCTCTCTCTCCCTCTCCCTTCCTCTCTGAAATCAATACAAATATATTTTAAAATAATAATTAAAATAAGTTTCACCTTAAAAATAAAAACAAAGGGAAGGGACTAGATGTCTGCTGGAGAAGGAGGTGGGTTCCTGGTTCCTGGAAAGTGATCTCTAGCTGGTGTGTGTGTCCGCGGGTGCTGTTGCTGGGATCTCAGCCTGAGAAGTCACTGCTTCCTCAAGAAGCCTTCTTTCACCCCCAGTCTGGGTTAAGGCTCCTGGTCTACAAGCTTTCTTAACTCCCCGACTGCTCCTTTATGGCATTATCAGAGTTTCTAACTATCCACTTATTTGTTAGTCTTTGATGAATACATGCCTTCCCCAGGGGACCATGAGCACCAAGAGGGCAGAAACCAGGGTTGTTTTTACTCATCAATACAACATGACTGGTACATTGCGGATGTACAATAAATATTTGTTGAATAAATAAATGAGTGACATTCAAAGGGAGTTCTTAGGTGGGGATTTAATGGGTGGTGTTAGTGGCATTGCCTGGGCTCTGGGGACAGCTGTGAGTCCAGATGTCCTGGCTTCTGCTCAGGGCCCGATCCATGTCTAGCCTCTGGTCTTGTGCCCAAAGGCCGTCCAAGCAAAAGGAGGCAGAAGAGGCCTCTCCTAGAGGGAGGTGGCACGGAGGGGGCATTAGGGTGGTTTGGATACTGAAGCTCCTCCCCACTCTTCTTCTTTTCTCCAAACTAAGTTTTTTAAAGCACTTCCGCCCACTGCCCCCTATCCTCTCTCATCTTGTGAAAATGTTTCTTTCCCCTAACAATGAGCCCCTTGCTTATCTTCTCCCCTGCCTTTAGCTGTTTCCAGGAACTTGAACAGCACTCTCTCTTACCTGGCAAAGTCCCCAGGAAGAGACGCCCCTGGGGGTGGGCCCAGAGGCTGAGGAGGGAGTCGAGGCCCACGGGAGGCAGAGCGAGGATCTTCTTTGGCCCCTGGCTCAAGAGCACTTTGGACACATTCAGCTTCAGCTGAAGAGGGAGTCCCAAGACCAGGGGCAGATCCAGGCCTGGCCCCGACCCATAAGACAGCACCACCTTCTGCAGAGTGTGTGGGACAGGGACAGAAGTGAGGGAGGAGAGAATGAGCCACATCTACTCCTATGGCCCCACCTCCTAACTGCCTTCATTCTGCCTCTTAGCCACACTTCCTATCTCCTGGCCATTCCCACCTCCCAAATCCAGCCTCCATTCTCCCGGCTTGACCTTCCATAAAGCCACACCCACCCCAAGTAAATAATACAATCTAAATAAAAGCTGTTTGTGGCCCTGGCTGGGTGCTCAGTTGGTCAGGGCATCGTCCCAGATACCAAGGTTGTGGGTCAGTGCAAGGATCAACCAATGAATGCACAAACAAATCGATGTTTCTCTTTCTATCTCTCTCTCTCCACCCCTTCCTCTCTCTCTCTCTCTCTCTAAAAAAAGTCAATAATAAATGAAAAGAAACAACCAATGAATCCATGCGTAAGTGGAACAACAAATCAATATTTCTCTCTTTCTAAAAAAAATCAATCAATACATTTTTTAAAAAAATAAATAAAAGCTGTCTGCTTGATGTCCCCAACCTTAAGGTGTGTCCCTGGCTCCCGTAAGCCTTCTTAATATTGACATTTTGAAGTCCCCTTTCCTCCACTGTTACCAGGTGCCACCACAGGCAGTGCCCCTTCTTACTTGATCTTGGAGTTGGAGGCTGAGCCAAGAAGGGTTTTCTGGGGTCCCCAGGGCAAGGAGGTGGCCAGAGCCTGCTGCCAGCTGGAGTCCCAGGTCCACAGAGAAGGCCCAAGGCTCTACCTGAGGCTGAGGAATATCTGGGGGGAGAAATGATCCTCCTGAGGCCTCAAGGCTAAGGATTCACGGAGGAAGGGGGATAGCGGTGGAAGGAGGTGGAGGAAGGCAAATACAGAGATGGCCAGGGAGGGGGAAAACAGCCTTTACCTTGGAGACTGAACTCTGCATGAGTTCCTGGAGGGAAGAATATCCCAGGTTGGGACTCTACAGTACAGTTTCTGAGGCCAGTGGGGGCAGACACTGAAATCTGGGCCTGTGGGTCCAGCCAGTCACCCCTGCGCAGGCAGGCATCCAGGGCAGGTACGAGCTGGAGCCCGTGGTGGGAAGGGAAGACACAGGATGTCAGAATTAGGACACCTGAGCCCAGTCCCAGCCTCCCCACTCTCAGTTCATTCCCCTCCAATACACAAGCGTCTGGCCTCCCCCATGCAACTCTTATCCCATCCCCTCTTCTCAAAAGGGGGGACTTAAATCCCCATGGCCACCCAGTCAGCACTGCTTTACCAGCTTGGGTGATGGTTCCCACCCCTGTGAGGCAGTTACCGGCAACCGGAGGTTGGAGGCGGGGAACAGCAGTCCCCCAAGTGCAATCCTCATGACGGGCTGGGGCTTTTCGGCCAGGGGCCCAGAGACCTGTCTCAGATGCAGCACCTCTTCCTTATCCACCTCCAGCAGCACTGAGTCTCCCAGGATCTTCACTTCTACCTGCAGAAAGGAGGAGAGAAGCAAAATCGGAAACCCCTGAGACCCGTCTCCACTGATTTCTTCAGAGTCAGCCAAGTGCAGTGGAAAGAACATGCACTTGAAGAGTCTGCTAGCATCCTTGGCTCACTTAGGACTTGTTACTTATATACTGGCTCAGCTTTAGAATTCCCCTTTGAAATAATCGGGGTTTTGTGCAGATTAAACTAGATGACAATGGTAATGAGATGCCCAATGACTTGATTCTGTTTCCCTTACTCAGACCAGCTCAACACACCCTTCTCCTCAGGACCAGATCTGGCTTACCTGGTGCCATTTCCCATCATCCAACCGGGGGCCAGCGCCCACGGTAAGCTGGGCCCAGGGGTTGTGCAGTTGGACCTCAGGCCTGCCATCTCGAAGTCCCAGCACAAACCAGTCATCCTTTGGGTTGATATCACCATAAAAAAGCACTCCCTCTGGGTCCCAGGTTCGAAACTCAAAGGAGGAGGAGTATCTGGAAGGACACAGAAGGAAGGACTGTGTATGGGGTGTGTCTTTGAAGGTCTATGTGGGGTTTGGGGAGGTGAGGAGGTAAGGGAGAGAGAAGGACAATGAGACAGGGAAAAGAGAAGAGCTGACAGAGATGGTAGGTGAGGGGACTAGGTCAGACTAGGTCAACCCCATACTTTGTGATCTTGGTGAGGTTAAAGATCATGATAGAGACAGGCTCTTGTCCTGGGCCATTGCTGAGGTGCACAGCAGGAGGGTCCTGGATCCCCTATCAGAGAAAGAAAATAAAACAAGCTGGAATAAGGGCATGCCAGAGACAGACAGAGGAGAGGCAGTGTCACAGGGCCAGAGGAGGAAAGATAGAAAGAGGGCAGCTCCTTTAAACACATGGGCTGATTACCCTGTCCTGTTCCTGCACCTGGGTGGGGGTGATCTGTCTCAGAGCCTGTCCCTGGTGGTTATGAGATGGCAGCAGCAGCAGCAGCAGCAGCAGCAGTAACCAACACGATTTGGCCAGAGGGCCTCCGCACTCCATAGTCAGCCGGACGCCTCTCTGTGGCTCAGACAACTCTGGTGAGAATGCGCAAGAGCAGGCAGCCTTGCCCACGGTCGGTGGAAGGTTAAAGGTTGCTCTGGGGGGAAGAAGAGGGGGGCTGGAGACAAGGGCACTGACCCTATCACCCTTCTGAAGGGCCAAATGGGGTGAGGGACAAAGTTCCCACTACCCTCCCCCACTGCTGAGAAAGTTTGAGCTGGGAGATGGCATCCCATTCTCCCTCTCCTCCAGAGTCTAACCTGGCTCCTCCAAGCCTGCTGTCCACCTGGGGAGGCTGCCGGGACAGGCCGGAGGGTAGAAACAGTCTCGTCCTGCTCTTCAAGCAGCACCCCAGTCAGGACTAGAGCCACGACCTGGAATCCCAAGTACCTCGCTGAGTGACTGTGGGCATGTCACTCTGCAGTTGTGCATTAGTGTCCTTGTCTATAAAGTGTGAAAAATGATGCCTACGTTATGTGGTTACTGTGGGTGAGGATTCATGGAGACAATGCCGGCACGGTGCCTGGTAACTGCTCAGTGCCTCCCTCACTGTTTTCCCAGGCCTCGGAGGCTGGCCTCATAAGGAGGTATTGTCCCTGAGTGTGATTTAGTGGCTACTAAATTATCTTCTTTTATTCACTTATTACAAGGCCTAGCCATCTACCAACAGAAAGTCATCACCCTTTCCCTGACCCATTTAAAAATACAATGGCCTCAGAAAAGCCACCCAAGAGCCATAGTGAGCCCTAACCGGTTTGGCTCAGTGGATAGAGCGTCGGCCTGCGGACTGAAGGGTCCCAGGTTCGATTCCAGTCAAGGGCATGTACCTTGGTTGCGGGCACATCCCCAGTAGGGAGTGTGCAGCTGATCGATGTTTCTCTCTCATGGATGTTTAAAAAAAGAGCCATAGTGAACAGCTTTCGGAGCTGGGGGTCGGAGGCCTCACCAGGGTCTGCGTGGGCTCGCACGGTGAGGGTTTCGCGGATCATCACCGCCCACTTCATTCCGCCGTGGGATCGCCCCGAGGGACGGGGCAGCCCGTGTCCACAGCGAGGGAGGCGCTGGCAGCCAGACCTTGGCAGCTGCC